GGTGCACTCAGAATCCCTCTGACTCAAGAACCACAGAGCTTATGATCCAGGACAAGAGGTGGATAGGGACTGGTCTCTTCTCAAGGGTTTCCAGCTAAGTACTCTGTTAACTTATCCCAGACAGGACACAGTAAACAGTTTGTAAATCTGTGGAAATTCAGAAGAGTCATCCATTTTTTGAATAAACCATCAAAATGGCAATTACCACACTTGCCAAGGGTGAAGCATTGGGGTGAATATAATTGATAGCATCATGGCAATAAATATGAGTGTAGAAGTACAATGACCTCCATTTCAGAGATGAAGAATTGTCTTTAACAGCGTGCTTTCTGATCTCAGGTGTTCTGACATTAATTGCTTAACTAATAATTCCATTCTTTTATCTTTATTGAAGTTTTCTTTTGATGTGTACCGAGAGATGAGGTGTAAATGCCCCTTGTGGTTGTCGATAACTCACAGTGTCTTCAGCAGCTCTGTGAGTCTCTGTCAAGGCTTCTCAGTGTCTCCAGGTTTCTGTGACAGAATCACATGGTCTCCACACATCAGTCTAATGGGACTTCTGGAAATTCACGAAGCCTGCATATCTCATGTCCAGCTCTGTCCTGCAGAGGGTTAAAGGGAACAAATAAGTCACATGGTGAGAAGCAGAGACTCAAGACTCTGGGGCTTAATTTCACCTGCTGTGTGCACCTGGACATTCACACAAGCAATCTGTGCTGCAGTGTGTACATATTCACCTGTAAAATAGTGGTAAACTTGGTACCTACATCACAATAATGGGGTGCATATGTGAAAAAATGAAGATAATGGGTGCTATGTAGTTTCTCCAGCAAAATCACAAAATAATAGAATGCGATTTCCTCAAAGATATCATGGTGACCAAACTCCCCCAGGACCCACACAACTGCTGTAGATCACTGCCATCTTGAGGATGCTACCTGGAAAATGTGTTATATACTCAGAGAACATGCTAATATGGCCTTCCCTCTGCTGATTAAAACAGCCCAGTCCTGACTCTGCACCTGGGAGAGGAACCTCAGCCCAGTATTTCCAGGTGGTCCAATCAGTAATCAAGACAGAACATGGACAATTCACTATGGAGTTTACGCTTGGCTGGGTTTTTCTTGTTTCTCTTTTAAAAGGTAATTCATGGTGAGAAAGAGACGTTGAGGAGGTGAGTAGATATGCCTTAGAGAAACCATGGACGTGTGGCAGTTTCCTGACCAGGACGTCTTGTGTCTGCAGGTGTCCAGTGTGAGGTGCAGCTTGTGGAATCTGGGGGACCCCCTGAAGCCTCAGGGGTCCCTGAGACTCTCATGTGCAGCCTCTGGATTAACCTTAAGTAGCTACCGCATGAAATAGGTCCACCAGGCTCCAGAGAAGGGGCTGCAGTGGGTCGTATGGATTAGCTATGATGGAAGTAGCACATACTATATAGACTCTGTGAAGGGCTGATTCACCATTTCCAGAGGCAACGGCAAGAACGTGCTCTATCTGCAGATGAACAGCTTCAGAGCCCAGGACACAGCCCTGGATTACTGTGCAACAGACACAGTGAGGAGACTGCAGTGTGAGCCCAGACACAAACCTCACTGTAGGAGGGATCTGGACCACCAGGAGGTGCACACTAATCACCAATTCTGTCTTTAAGATAGGAGTAGATTCAGATGCAAGTTATTGGGAGGTTTCCTGTCAGGGTCTGGGGATTCCTCCCCATAGAACAGTTTCCCTCAGGGACTCTCTCAGCACACATGATTCTGTGCTTACCTCTTCACTCTCTGACTTCAAAAATTTGTTCTAGTGGGAAAATAATTATACTAAAATGCACAAAATACAGTGCCACTCACATTGTTTATTCCCGTCCTTAAATACCAATGAATCACAAATATCCTGATTCTTATCAACTTTACAGGAATCCCAGAGGCACACAGTAGGCAGCACAGTCCACCCAGATCAACATGTACACTTGATAGAAGGAGCATGAAGTGCATGCTGGACATGAGGCCACAGAGGCATCAACAGTCTAAAGCAAAAGAAGAAAGGGGCTTGTTGGGGGCAGAGGGTGTCACTATCTTAAACAAAGTTCACAGCATCAATATTAGAGACAACATGGGAAAGCAGTGAAACCTACAGCAGGTGTGTTAAGGATGTGGATTCTGAACATTACACACACTCACACACACACACACACAGCACACACACAAACACACCCACTCACATCAGAGTATAAAACCTTCATCATTTTCCCTAATTTTTCTGCAGCAAATGTGGTCCTAAGACAGAAACACACAGCATACAGGAAGACCTCAAGAAGAAAGAAAAATCTGAAAGACACCACCTAACGTGTTGCACCTGGGTGGCTCAGAGGGTTAAGTTTCATCCTTTGGCTCAGGTCATGATCTTAGGGTCCTGGAATTGAGCCCCACATCAGGCTCTCTGCTCAGCTGGGATCCTGTTTCCCCTCCTCTCTCTCTGCCTGCCTACTTGTGATTTCTCTCTCTGTCAAATAAATAAATAAATAAATAATCTTTAAAAAAAGCAAAGGAGAACAACTAACTTTATACCTGAAGGAGCTAGAGAAATTACAATGACTAAAGCCTAAATACAGCAAAAGGAAGGAAATACTAGAGACTAGAGCATAAATAAATGATATAAAAATTAAAAAAAAAATTAAACAGACCAGATTAAAAGAAACAAGGTCTGTTTCTTTGGAAAAAAAATAAAATTGAGAAAACTCTGCCAGGATTTATCAAAAATAAAATAAAACCCCCAGAAAATAACATCAGAAATCAATATATTTCGCTGGGGAACAAACAGGATTTTGGAGGGATGGAGGTCAAGGGGTGGGTCAACTTGGGGATGGGCAATAAGGACATGCATTGGGTGAACACTGGGTGTTACATACAAATAAAGAATTGTTGAATACTGCATCTAAAATAATGGTGGCTAACTGAAAGTAATTTTAAAAGGAATTAAAGCAGATAATACTGTGAGAATATATAAATAAATAAATCTAAAATTCTAGGAAGAATCTTCTCCAGTCCAAATCCTGAAATTATACTCAAAATTTTATGTTCAAACGAGGGGTGGCTGAGCTGTGGGATGGGGTAACTGTCTGATGGGCATTAAGGAGGGCACTTGATGGAATGAGCACTCGGTGTTATATGCAACTGATGAATCACTAAATTTTACCTCTGAAACTGGTAATGCACTGTGTGTTAACTGAACTGACTTAAGTAAAAAAATTTAAAATGTAAAATAAGAAATCAGAGGTGTTTGGGTTACATTGGTGAGAGTATTGCTATAGTGAGTGCTGAGAAGTGTGTAAGTCTGATGATTCACAGACCTGGACCCCTGGGGCTAATAATACATTATATGGTAATAAAAAATAAATAAAAAAGAAATCAGCCTGATCTAGTGTGTCATTCAAAGTCCTTGTTTTGAAAAATGCCACTTGAATTTTGATAGGGATGGCACTGAAAGTATAGATTGCTCTGGGCAGTATAGATATTTTAACAATGTTTAATCTTCTAATCCATTAGCATGGAATGCTTTTTCATCTTTTTTGGCTGGAACAAACACTACTAAAATATGTATGAAACCAGAAAAGACCCCGAATTTCTAAGGAAATGTTGAAAAAAATAAATAAAGCAAAACAAAACTGGGGACATCACGTTACCTGATTTCAAGTTTTATTACAAAGCTGTGATCACCAATACAGCATTGTACGGGCACATAAATGATGCATACACCAATGGGACAGAGTAGAGAGTCCAGAATGGACCCTCAACTTTATGGTGAAATAACCTTGACAAAGCAGGAAAAATTATATGGTGGTAAAAAACTAATGATGTACTGCATGGTCACTAACATAACACAATAATTTGAAAAATGCTGTGATAGAAAAAAAAAAGAAAAAAATTCTCTTCATACCTTAGAATACTGCTGAGTGAAATAAGTCAATCGGAGAGAGTCAATTATCATATGGTTTTGCTTATTTGTGGAGCATAAGGAAAAACACGGAGGACATGGGGAGATGGAGAGGAGAGGAGAGTTGGGGGAAATTGGAGGGTGAGATAAAGCATGAGAGACTATGGACTCTGAAAAACAAACCGAAGGTTTTGGAGGGGAGGGGAGTGGGGGTTGGGTGAGCCTGGTGGTGGGTATTATGGATGGCACGTATTGCATGGAACACTGGGTGTGGTGTATAAACAATGAATTCGGGAACACTGAAAATAAATTTAAAAATAAATAAATAAAATTTTAAGAAAGAAAGAAAGCAAACAGGCGACTAAGCCACCCGAAGTTACCACACTCCAATTTAAAGCTAGATTACAAAGCTGTTGTCATCAAAACAGTATGGTACTGGCATAAATACAGACACACAGGACAATGGAACACAACAGAAAGATTGGAATCTGATAATCCTAGTACTTTTGGCAAAGTTTATCCATTCATATATTAAAGGTATATTTCCACTTGACTCTGATAGGATTATTAACTCTGAATGGGAATTTATAATATTGATGTCCTTATCAACATTTCCTACCAATAAATGCAATTTTTAAATATTTTGTTTATTATTTGACAGACAGAGATCACAAGTAGGCAGAGAGGCAGGCGAGGGGGGGAAAGCAGGCATCTGGCTGAGCAGAGAGACCAATGGAGGGCTCATTCCCAGGACCACAGGATCTTGACCTGAGCCACAGGCAGAGGCTTGAACCCACTGAGCTGCCCAGGAGCCGATAAATGCATTACTTAAACAAACAAAAAACCAACCAACCAAACAAACAAACAAACTAACTAACAAAAAAGAATACTAGATACTGTCAAAGTGCTGTCTAAACAAAGTGATCTACAAAAAATACAATCTTTGTTTTTAACTTGCAAAGAATTGAACCTATGTCTGGAGCTAACTATATACTCAGAGGACATGCAAATAGGGTCTTCCCTCCACTGAATAAAACAGCCCAGCCCGGACAATGCAGCTGGGATAGGAACCCCAGCCCAGGGATTTCCAGGTGTCCACATTCACTGATCAGGACAGAACACAGAGAACTCACCATGGAATTCGTGCTAGGCTGGGTTTTTCTTGTTGCCTTTTTAAAAGGTAATTTATGGAAAACAAGAGATATTGAGGATGTGAGTGGATATGAGTAAGAGAAACCATGGGTGTGTGACAGATTCCTGACTAGGATGTCTTGTGTCTGTAGGTGTCCTGTGTGAGGTGCAGCTGGTGGAGTCTGGGGGAGACCTGGTGAAGCCTGGGGGTTCCCTGAGAATCTCCTGTGCAGCCTCTGGATTCACCTTCAGTAGCTACTGGATGAGCTGGGTCCGCCAGGCTCCAGGGAAGGGGCTGCAGTGGGTTGCATTGATTAATACTGGTGGAAGTAGCACATACTATGCAGACTCTGTGAAGGGCCGATTCACCATCTCCAGAGACAACAGCAAGAACACGCTGTATCTGCAGATGAACAGCCTTAGAGCCGAGGACACAGCTGTGTACTACTGTGCGAGAGACACAGTGAGGGGACATCAGTTTAAGCCCAGACACAAACCTCAAACTACAAGAATAACAGAGCAGCAGAGGGTGTACATTAATCACCAATTCTGTCCTTAATACCAGGAGCAGGTGCAGATGGAGTCTATGGCATATTTCCTGTTAGGGTCTGGGGTTTCCTCTCCATAGTGCAGTTTCCCCAAGGGAGCCTCCTTGACATTATTATGTGCTTGTATATTCACTCTGAGACTTAGAAACTTAGGTGTAACAAGAAGAAAAATATGCAAACATGCAAAAAAAAAAAAGAGTCAGTTACATTAGTTTCCTCTTGTCCTTAAATACCAATAAATTACAAATATCCTGATGCAGGTCAACAAAACCTTTATAAGAATCTCAGTGGCACTCACTGTGGATCACAAGAACCTCCAGCGAAGCCAGAAGATCACACACATACACACACACACACACACACACACACACACACACACACGAGTATAAAACCTCCACTGAAAAAAAATAAAATAAAGTTTAAGGAAAGAGTAGAAAACCTCTATCACCATCCTGTATTTTCTCTGCAGCAAAAGTGGTCCTAAGACAGAAATACACAGCATACAGGAAGACCTCAAGAAGCAAGAAAAATCTCAAATAAACAACCTAACATTACACCTAAAGCTCCTAGAGAAAGAACAACTGAATACTAAATATAGCAGAAGGAATGAAATAGCAAGATTAGAGCAGAAAGAGATTATATATAAACTGAGAAACACAGAACAAAACAAAGAAACCAGGATCTGCACATTTTTTTTCTAACTCAGTTAGCCAAGGTATAGTACATCATTGAGTTTTGATATAATATTTAATGCTCCATCTGTTCGGTATAAAACCCTGTGTTCATCACGTCACGTGATACTTTGGGGGAAAAAACACAATACACCTGAGAATCCTCCACTTAAATTTACCAAAATAAAAGAGAAAGGGCCCAAATAAATAATAAAGGACTCTATGTGGCCCAGTGTGTCAGTCAAAGCCCTATTTCCTTGGTGCATAAACAATGAATTCTGGAACACTGAAAAAAATTTTAAAAACGTGAAAAATGTCTATATTATCTTTTAATATTTACTTAGCCAGCATATAGTATATCATTAGTTTTTGGTGAAGTGTTCAAAGATTCATTAGTTGTATATAACACCCAGTGCTCATCACATCACCTTCCCTCCTTAATTCCCATCACCTGGCTACCCAACCCCCACCACCCTCACTTCTGTAACCCTTGTCTGTTTCCTAGAATCCAGAGTCTCTCATGGTTTGTCTCCCTCCTTGATTTTTTTTTTCATTTTTCAGTGTTCCAAGATACACTGTTTATGTACCACACCCAGTGCTCCATGCAATACGTGTCCTCCTTAATACCCACCACTAGGCTCACCCATCCCTCCAACCCCTCCACTCCCAAACCCTCAGTTTCTTTCTCGGAGTCCACAGTCCTCATGCTTTATATCCCCCAAATTTACCACAATTCAGTTTTCCTTTAATCTCTTAATGTCCTCTATGTTATTCCTTATGCTCCACAAGTAAGTAAAACCGTATGATAATTGACTTTCTCTGTGGTCCTCCTCACTATTCCTTATGTTCCACATAGAAGTGAAACCATAGGATAATTATCTTTCTCTGCTTGACTTATTCTACTTGACATAACACCATGCAGTTCCATCCAAGTCGATGAAATGGTAGGTATTCATCCTTTCTGATGGCTGAGTCATATTCCAGTGATTATATAGACCACATCTTCTTTATCCATTCTTATGTGGAAGGACATCTCAGCTCCTTCCACAGTTTCACCAAAGTGAATATTAATCCCATGAATATTGGGGTGCATGTGCCCCTTTGTTCACTACATCTGTATCTTTGGGGTAAATACCCAGTAGAACAATTGCTGAGTCATAGGGCAGTTCTATTTTTAACTTTTTGAGGCATCCAGACACTGTTTTCCCAAGTGGCTGTATCAACATGCATTCCCACCAAGAGCATAAGAGGGTTCATCTTTCTCCACATCCTCTCCAACATTTATTGTTCCCTGTCTTGTTAATTTTAGTCTTTCTAACTTGTATAAGGTAATATATCATTGTGTTTTTTAATCACAACATTCCAAACTTTATTGCATTCTTATTATAGAACTTGTCCAGTGATTATAACTTTTTAAATTTTTTTTTTACTTTTCCAATTTCTTTTCAGCTTACCAGAATTCATTGTTTATGTACCACACTCAGTGTTCCATGCAATACATGCCCTCCATGATATGCACAACCAGGCTCACCCAAACTCTCACCTCTTGCCCCTTCAAAACCTTCAGATTGATTTTCAGAGTCCACAGTCTCTCATGGCTCGTCTCCCCCTAAAATTTTCCTCAACACCCTTCTCCTCTCCGTCTTCCCATGTCCTCCGTGTTATTTCTTATGCTCCACAAATAAGTGAAACCATATGATCATTGACTTTCTCTGCTTGACTTACTTCACTCAGCATAATCTCTTCCAGTCCCATCCATGTTGATACAAAAGTTGGGTATTCATCCTTTCTGATGGAGGCATAATACTCCATAGTGTATATGGACCACATCTTCCTTATCCATTCGTCCATTGAAGGGCATCTTGGCTCTTTCCACATTTTGGAGACCATGGTCATTGCTACTATGAACCTTGGGTTACAGATGGCCCTTCTTTTCACTACATCTGATTCTTTGATGTAAATACCCAGTAGTGCAATTGCAGGGTCATATGGAAGCTCTATTTTAAATTTCTTAAGGAATCTCCACACTGTTTTCCAAAGTGGCTGCACCAACTTGCATTCCCACCCACAGTGTAGGAGGGTTCCCCTTTCTCCACAGCTTCTCCAACACACGTTGTTTACTGTTTTGTTAATTTTTGCCATTCTAACTGGTATAAGGTGGTATCTCCATGTGGTTTTGATATGAATTCCCCCAACATTTTCATGTGTCTCTTGGCTATTAGTATGTCTTCTTTGGAGAAGTATCTGTTCATGTCTTCTGCCCATTTTTGACGTGATTATCTGTTTTCTTGAGTATTGAGTTTGAGTTCTTTCTAGATCTTAGATATCAGCCCATTATCTGTAGCGTTATTTGCATATATCTTCTCCCATTCTGTGGGTTGCCTCTTTGTTTTGTTGACTGTTTCCTTTGCTGTGCAGAAGCTTTGGATTCTGATGAAGTCCCAAAATTCACTTTTTCTTTTCTTTCCTTTGCCTTTGGAGATTGTCTTGAAATAAGTTGCTGTGGCTGATGTCAGAGAGGTTACCGCCTATGTTCTCCTCTAGGACTTTGATGGATTCCTGTCTCACAAGGAGTTCTTTTATCCATTTCGAGTTTATCTTTGTGTATGGTGTAAGAGAATGGTCGAGTTTCATTCTTCTGCACATAGCTGTCCAATTTTCCCAACACCATTTATTGAAGAGACTGTCATTTTTCCACTGTCTATTTTTTCTTGCTTTGTTGAAGATTAGCTTACCAGAAAGTTGAGAGTCTTTATCTGGGGTCTCTACTCTCTTCCACTTTTCCAGTTGTCAAATAAATGGTAAAATAAATGGTTCTTGCTACACACAGCAGCATGGTTGAATTTTCAAGGATTTGTGCAGAGCAAAAAGAAAAAAAAAAGTCCTACAATAAAATTACATACAATATAAATTCTTCAAATTAAAACTAGTCTAAATAACATGAGAAAAGCCCATAGTTACATGTCAACAGGGAGAAGAAGGGAAGAAGGAGGAGGAATTCCAGAGAAAATACAGGAGGTTTTATGGAGGGTTGATTTGTTCATTCTGGACAATGTTGATTCTGACACCCATGTTAATCCTATCACACACTCCACCTATATGCTGTTTATTCCATGTCAAGCACACTCACCAATATTCTTACAAATAACCCCAGAGATAACTTGGGAGGAACAGATAGGTATTGAAATGTTAGAAAATGCACCTACACAAACCCAATGCTCTCTATAATTCAGGGCAACATAGAGAGGAAGTAAAATCATCCTGTCTGCATTACAGGATGGGTTCCATATTCCTCACCATCCTGCCAACTCTGTCCTCCAGGCTGTTCAGGGGACAGTGTGTCCTGTGGGGATGAGCACAGGGCCACATACTGGGGATCTGGGGATCACTCTCACCTTGTGTGTGCTCTTGGACACTTCACAAAACCCTCTAAAATTCTTGGTGTTGGTTTATAATTCATTATGGCATTACATGAAATCAATCTCAAAACATTTGTGTGAATATGTAAAAAGAAAGTAGCACATGTCCGAGTATATACTCTGGAAAGTTATATAATGAAAATCATTTTTTTTCTAAAGTGGTCAAAACAACCAAAACAAAGGCAGTCAGATGTCTTCTGGCCATTGCCCTCTAAGGTCACATAGATCCCAAGCTGAATATGTAGTCAGAGAATATGCAAATAGGGCCCTCCATCTGAGGATTAAAAACAGCCCAAACCTGACCGCAGCTGGGAGAGGAGCCCCAGCACCAGGATTCCCAGGTATTCCAATCAGTACTCAGGACAGGACACAGACAACTCACTATGAAGTTTGTGCTTGGCTGGGTTTTTCTTGTTGCTCTTTTAAAAGGTAATTCATGGTGAACAAGAGATGTTGAGGATGTGAGTGGATATGAGTTAAAGAAACCATGAATGTGTGACAGTTTCCTGACCAGGATGTCTTCTCTGCAGGTGTTCAGGGTGAGGTGCAGCTGGTGGATTCTGGGGGAGACCTGGTGAAGCCTGGGGGAGGGGTGTCCCTGAGACTCTTCTGTGCAGCCTCTGGATTCAACTTCAGCAGCTACAACATGGACTGGGTCCGCCAGGCTCCAGGGAAGGGGCTGCAGTGGGTCTCATATATTAGCAGTGGTGGAAGCACATACTATGCGGACTCTGTTAAGGGCCGATTCACCATCTCCAGAGACAATGACAAGAACAAGCTGTATCTGCAGATGAACAGCCTGAAAGCCGAGGACATGGCCCTGTATTACTGTGCAAGAGACACAGTGAGGGGTCCTCAGTGTGAGCTCAGACACAAACCTCACTGTAGGAGGGGATCTGGACCACACTACTCACCAATTCTGTCTTTAAGCCCCAAGAGCGGATGCAGATGAAGGTTATGGGCAGGTTTCCTGTCAGGATCTAGGGATTCTTATCCAGAGAACACTTTCCCTCAGGGACGTCCTCTGCACACATGATTCTGTGCTTAACTCTTCACTCTCTGACTTTGAAAATTTGTTCTACTGGGAAAACAATTATACTAAAATGCACAAAATACAGAGTCACTCACGTTGTTTATTGCTGTCCCTAAATAACAATGAATCACAATAAACTGGAGCTTATCAAGTGAGCCTTTACAGGACTCCCAGCTTCCCTCACTGTGCATCACAGGTCCACCCTGCTCAACGTGCAAACTCGCTAGAAGCAGCATAAAGTGCATGCCAGACAGGAGACCTCCAGAGGCATCAAAAATCCACAGAAAAGGAAGAAAAAGTCTTGGTTGGGGCGTCACTGTCTTAAACAATGCTCACAGCCTCAATGTTAGTGACAACGTGGGAAAGCAGTGGAGCCCCCTCCAGGTGTGATGTGTAGTCTGGACATTACACACACACACATGCATAAACACACACACACACACACACACACACACACACACAGGAGTATGAAACCTTTTTCACTTTCCCCTAATTTCTCTGAAGCAAAAGTAGTCTTAATAGAAAAATATGCAACATAGAGGAAGACCTCAAGAAGCAAGAAAAATCTGAAAGAAACACTCTAACATTACACCTGAAGGAGCTAGAGAAGGTATGATGACTAAAGCCTAAATACAGAAGAAGGAAGGAAATAGTAAAGATTAGAACAGTAATAAATGATATAAAAACAAAACAAAACAAAACAAAAAACAAACACAGAATAGAACAAAAAAGCAAGGTCTAGTTTTTAGGGAAAAAATAAAATAAAATTGAGAAACCTATGCTTAGATTTATCAAAAGGAAAAGAGAAATCCTGAAATAAATGATATCAGAAATCAATATATTCCTCTGTGGAACAAATAGAGTTTTGGAAGGGTAGGAGGGGTCAGATGAGGAAACTCGATGATGGGCAATAAGGACACATGATGGGTGAACACTGAATGTTACACGCAAGTAATGAATTGTTGAACACTACATCAAAAACTAGTGATGTACTATATGGTGGCTAACTGAACATAATTTTAAAACGGAATTTAAGGAGATAATGCTTTGAAAAAATAAATAATTAAAGCTAGAATTCTGGGAGGAACGTTTCCCAATCCAAACCCTGAAATTATACTCAAAATTTTGTGTTCAAACTAGAGGTGGCTGGGGAGGGGTGATGGGATAACTGCCTCATGGGCATTAAGGAGGGCACTTGATGGAATGAGCACTCGGTGTTATATGCAACTGATGAATCACTAAATTCTACCTCTGAAACCAATAATGCACTATGTGTTAACTGAATTGAATTTAAATAAAAAATTCTTAAAACATAAAAAAAGAAAAGAAATCAATCTGATCCAGTCTGTCATTCAGAGTCTTTATTTCAGGAGTAGAGGAGCAAGAAGGCAGCTGAGTAGGGACCTCATTTCAGCTGGTTCCTTGAATTAAGCTGGATGCCCATCAAACCATTCTGAACACACACAAATTCTAACTCAGATGTAAAAACAATTATCCGGATTTCTACAAGCAACAAAATGAGTTCTTTTTGTGAAGTAGGAGGTGCAGAAACATAAATCTTTGGGGGAAATACTGGAAGATAAATGGAAATTGGAGGGAGTCTCCATAAGCCAGCCACTGGAAAATGATATTCACATCAGAGCAAAAAAATCAGGACCTTTGAAATCTGCTCCAGCGAGAGACATCCCTTACTGAAAAGAGCACAGGGGATGAATAGGACAGAATTCTGGGTGGATCACTGGGATCTCAGATCACAGAAAATCAGAGGGAATGGGGAAGCCTGAACTGATAGACTGCCCAAGCAGTGACACAGGAAGACAGGTTACAGCCAGCAAGCTCAAAAGGGACTCTCAGCTCCAGTCACCATAAACCACAAGTCAGGCCAGTTGGGAGACTGCTCTGTGCCTGACCACCCTGAAAAGAACTAGAAGTTATGGGCTCCTTAACATCCCAGGGGAGATATAAAATGATTTGTGACCAAAACAGGGCAATAGCTCTCAGGGCGGTATGGCCCATGTAAGGACACTGGAGAGGCACCTGGCCTTTATCTGGGAGCCATGCAAGAGGTTGCATGTGTGAGCCCATGGCTTGGTGCACAAAGTGGCTACATCCACAACTGGGCAACAGCTCTTAGAATGATGTGACATCTGAGAGGACACTGCATCAGCATCCAGCATAACCCGGGAGGTGCAGAAGTGGGTGCACTCACGAGCCCAGAGCCGCTAACAATTACAAAGTCAGAAAGCATGGAGACACTCATGGGTCCCTGGAACTTTCCCCAGAGAGTTGCAGTGGGCATCAATAACTCAAGTCTGTGGATTTTGGTACACGTAGTAGTGGATATGGATTGACCTGGGGGATTTTCTGAGGTGGTGGTGGGGGTCCAGTCCCAAATATACTCAAATAGAGTCTTACTTCCTAACTTTAGTTTCTAAATTTCAAATCTTTATTTTATAGATTTATGCCCCACATAATCCCATTGTTTCCTCTATTTAATTTATATAGAAAATGAGTTTTGATTTCTTTAATGTTTTCAGACTTAGTGTCTTCTAACATATAGTCCAAAAATCAATCAGGAACAGGCAGATTGAGGCAAGATGGCGGAAGTGTAGGGGACCCAGTTTAAGCAGGCCCCTTGAGTTTAGCTGCATATCTATAAAACTATTTTTTAAAAGATTTTATTTATTTATTTGTCAGAGAGAGAGAGAGGGAGAGCACAAGCAGGCAGAGTGACAGGCAGAGGCAGAGAGAGAAGCAGGCTCCCCACTGAGCAAGGAGCCCGATGCGGGACTCAATCCCAGGACCCTGGGATCATGACCTGAGCTGAAGGCAGCAGCTTAACCAACTGAGCCACCCAGGCGCCCTATAAAACTATTTTGAACACACATGAAATCAACCTGAGATGTAAGAATATATATGTGGATTCTATGAAAATTGGCTATGTTCAACAAGATGTCTATTATACCATCTCATTTTTTCATAGGCCATTTTTAACATTTATTTTTACAAACCTGTATTTTTTTAACTGGTCTATGCTTTATTTTAGCAAGTTGTTCATTCTATTCAGTTTTACTTTCTTATATATCCATCTTTTAGTTTCCTTGTGATTTTGAGATTTAGTGTCCTCTAACATACAGATCAAAATTCACCCAGGAACAACTGAAGCATGTTATTTTGTCCAAAATGAAAGTTACATCCACTCTTTACTTGCCTTCTTTCTCATTTTCTACTCTCTCTATATTTTATATATTTTTTAAATTTTTTTCAAAGTTCTCAATTTTAATTTTTTTCAGTTTTCCAAGATTCACTGTTTATGCATCACACCCATGCTCCATGCAATACGTGCCCTCCATAATACCCACCACCATGCTCACCTATCCTCCCACCATCCTTCCTTGCAAAACCCTCAGTATGTTTCTCAGAGTCCACAGTCTGTCATGGTTCGTCTCCCCTTTCAATTTCCCTCAACTTTCTTTTCCTCTCCATCCCCCCATGTCCTCTGTGCTATTCCTTATACTCCACAAATAAGCGAAACCATATGATAATTGACTTTCTCTGCTTGACTTATTTCATGCAGCATAATCTCTTCCAGTCCCATCCATGTTGATACAGAAGTTGGGTATTCATCCTTTCTGATGGAGGCATAATACTCCATAGTGTATATGGACCACATCTTCCTTATCCATCCGTCCATTGAAGACCATCTTGGTTCCTTCCACAGTTTGGCGATTGTGGCCATTGCTGCTATGAAAAGTCGGGTACAGATGGCCCTTCCTTCACTACATCAGTATCCTTGTGGTAAATACCCAGTAGTGAAATTGCAGGGTCATAGGGAAGGTCTAGTTTTAATTTCTTAAAAATCTCCACACTGTTTTCAAAATAGGCTGCACCAACTTGCATTCCAACCAACAGTGTAAGAGGGTTCCCCTTTTCCACATCCCCTCCAACACATGTTGTTTCCTGTCTTGCTAATTTTGACCATTCTAACTGGTGGAAGGTGGTATTTTAATGTGGTTTTGATTTGAATCTCCCTGATGGATAATGATGATGAACATCTTTCCATGTGTCTGTGAGCCATTTGTATGTCTTCATTGGAGAAGTGTCTGTTCATATCTTCTGTCCATTTTTTGACATGATTATCTGTTTTGTGTGTGTTGAGTTTGAGGAGTTCTCTATAGATCTTGGATATCAACCCTTTGTCTGTACTGTCATTTGTGAATATCTTCTCCCATTCCGTGGGTTACCTCTTTGTTTTGTTGACTGTTTCCTTTGCTGTGCAGAAGCTTTTGACCTTGATGAAATCCCAAAAGTTCATTTTTGCTTTTGTTTCCCTTCCCTTTGGAGACATATCTTGAAAGAAGTTGCTCTGGCTGATGTCAAAGAGGTTACTGCCTATGTTCTCCTCTAGGATTGTGATGGATTCCTGTCTCATGATGAGGTCGTTTAACCACTTCGAGTGTATCTTTGTGTAAGGTGTAATAGAATGGTCGAGTTTAATTCATCTACACATAGTTGTCCAATTTTCCCAGCATCATTTATTGAAGAGACTGTCGTTTTTTCACTGTCAATTTTTTTTCTGCTTTGTCGAAGATTAGCTGACCATAAAGTTGAGAGTCCTTATCTGGGCTCTCTACTCTGTTCCACTGGTCCCTGTGTCTGTCTGTGTGCCAGTACCATGCTGTCCTGGTGATCACAGCTTTGTAGAGATGCTTGAAATCAGGTAACATGATGCCCCCAGTTTTCTTTTTCTTTTTCAACATTTCCTTAACAATTCAGGGTCTCCTTTGGTTCCATACAGACTTTATGATTGTTTGCTCCAGTTCTTTGAAAAATGCTGCTGGAATTTTGATTAGAATGGCATTGAAATTTAGATTGCTTAGGCAATGTAGATATTTTATTTTTATTTTTTTAATTAAATTTTATTTTTTATAAACATATATTTTTATCCCCAGGGGTACAGGTCTGTGAATCGCCAGGTTTGGCAATGTACATATTTTAACAATGTTTATTCTTCTGATCCATGAACATGGAATGGTATTCCATCTTTTTGTGTCTTCTTCAATTTCTTTTGTGGGTGTTCTGTAGTTCCTCGAGTACAGATCCTTTACCCCTTTGGTTAGGTTTATTCCTAGGTATCTTATGGTTCTTGGTGCTATAGTAAATGGAATCTATTCCCTGATGTCCCTTTCTGTATTTCCATTGTTAGTATATAAGAAAACAACTGATTTCTGTACACTGACATTGTATGCGGCCACATTATTGAATTGGTGTATGAGTTCTAGGAGTTTGGCAGTGGAGTCTGTAGGGTTTTCTATATAAAGTATCATGTCATCTGCAAAGAGAGAGAGTTTGACTTCTTCATTGCCAATTTGAATACCTTTTATTTCTCTTTGTTGTCTGATTGCTGTACTAGGACTCTAATACTATGCTGAACAAGAGTGGTGAGAGTGGGCATCCTTATCGTGTTCCTGATCTCAAAGGGAAGGCTGTCAGCTTTTCCCCATTGAGGATGATATTTGCTGTGGGTTTTTCATAGATAGATTTGATGAAGTTGAGGAATGTTTCCTCTATCCCTATACTTTGAAGTGTTTTAATGAGGAATGTATGCTGGATTTTGTCAAATGCTTTTTCTGTTCAATTGAGAAGACCATGTGGTTTTTCTCTCTTTTCTTATTGATTTGTTCTATCACATTGATTGATTTGTGAATGTTGAACCACCCCTGCATCCCATGGATAAATTGCACCTGGTCATGGTGGATAATCTTTTTAATGTACTGTTGAATCCTATTAGCTAAGATCTTGTTGAGAATCTTAGCATTCATATTGATCGGGATACTGGTCTGAAAATATCCTTTTTGGTGTGGTCTTTGTCTGTTTTGGGGATCAGGGTAATGCTGGCTTCATAAAAGCAGTCTGGAAATTTTCCTTCTGCTTCAATTTTTTGAAATCTCTTCAGGAGAATAGGTTTTATTTCTTCTTTGAAAGTTTGGTGGAATTACTCAGAGAATCCGCAGGTCCTGGGCTCTTGTTTTGGGGAGATTTTTGATCAGTGTTTCTATCTCGTCACTAGATATTTGTATATTCAGGTTGTCAATTTCTTCCTGATGTAGTTTTGGAAGGTAATAGGCTTCCAGGAATGCATTCATTTCATCTAGGTTGCATAACCTACTGGCATATAACTGTTGACAATAATTTCGGATGATGGTTTCTATTTCCTTGTTGTCAGTTGTGAGCTCTCCCTTTTCATTAATAATTTTATTCATTTGAGTCTTCTCTCTTTTCTTTTGGATTAGATTGGCTAGTGGTTTATTAATCTTATTGATTCTTTCAAAAAACCAGTTTCTAGTTTCATTGATGCATTCTAATATATCTCTGGTTTCTATTTCATTGATCTCTGCTCTAATCTTGATTATTTCCCTTCTTGTATGTGGCATTGGCTTAACTTGTTGATTCTCCAGTTCTTTAAGGTGTAAAGACAGCTGGTGTATTCTAGATTTTTCAATTAGCAATAATCGTGCCTCTGATAAACCTCATTGGCTATGATACTGCCACTGCACAAAGCTATTCTAGATTTTTTATTTTTTTGTTTTGTTTTGGTTTTTGGTTTATTAATTTTATTTATTTATTTATTTTTTTTTTTTCAGTGAGGCTTGGATAGCTATGTACTTTCCCCCTTAGGACCACCTTGGCTGTATCTCACAGGTTTTGGACCGAAGTGTCTTCATTCTCATTGGTTTCCACCAATTGTTTTAGTTCTTCTTTGATCTCCTGGTTGATCCAAGCATTCTTAAGCAAGGTGGTCTTTAGCTTCCAGGTGTTTGATTTTCTTCCAAATTTTTCTTGTGGATGAGTTCCAGTTTCAAGGCACTGTGGTCTGAGAATATAAATGGAATAATCTCAATCTTTTGGTATTGGTTGAGTCCAGATTTTTGACCCTGTATGTGGTTTATTCTGGAGAAAGTTCTATGTGCTCTTGAGAAGAATGAGTATTTTATTGTATTAAGGTGGCATGTTCTGTATATATCAATGAGGTCAATCTGGTCCAATGTGTCCTTTAATGCTCTTGTTTCTTTATTGATTTTCTGCTTGGATGATTTGTCCATTACTGAGAGTGGTGTGTTAAGATCTCCTACTATTAATGTATTCATATCAATATGACTCTTCATCTTGTTTAACAGTTGTCTTATGTAGTTGACATTGTGCAGTGGCAGTATCGTAGCCAATGAGGTTTATCCGAGGCACGATTATTGCTAATTATAGTTGGCTGCTCCCATATAGGGGGCATAAATATTTAAAATTTTTAGATCTTCTTGGTGGATGGACTCTTTAAGAATGATGTATGAGTATCTTTTGCATCTCTGACTACAGTATTTACTTTAAAATTTAATTTATCTGATATGAGAATCGCTACCCCAGCCTTCTTTTGAGGACATTGGCATGAAACATGCTTCTCCATCCCTTCACTTTCAGTCTGGATGCATCCGTAGGTTCAAAATGGATCTTTTGCAGAGGACATATGGACAGGTCCTGTCATTTTATCCAATCTACAACCCTGTGCCATCTTATTGGAACATTCAGGCCATTCACATTGAATGTGATTATGGAGAGATCCATTTTTATCGGCACCATGTTGCCTGTGAAGTCCTTGTTTCTATAGATTGTCTCCATAAATTTCTGTTCTATGACACTCTCAGGCTCGTTCTTCTTTTATAGAACCCCCCTTAATATTTCTTGTAGTGCCGGCTTGGTGGTCACCTACTCTTTTAAACCTTGCCTGTCTTGGAAGCTCCTTGTCTCTCCATCCATTTTTTGAATGTCAGCCTTACCAGATAAAGTATTCTGGCCTGCATGTTCTGTTCATTGAGTGCCCTTAATATGTCATTCCAGCCCTTTCTGGCTTGCCAGGTTTCTGTGGACAGGTCTGAAATTATTCTGATGTACCTTCCTCTGTACATAAGGAATTTCTTCCCCCTAGCTGCTTTCAAGAGCTTCTGTCTAAAATTATGAGTCCTCAGTTTCACAATCAGGTGTCTCAAGGTCTTCCTAGATTATATTATCTTGGGGGAAGACCTTTCTCCTCTGGGACATGAACCCAGGTTCCATTCCCCAGAGTGGGAGAATTTTCATGGAGAATTTGCTCAACTATATCTTCTAGTCTTCTTTCTTTCTCCTCCCCCTCAGGTATTCCGATAATTCTGATGTTGGAACATTTCATGGAGTCATTTATTTGCCTAATTTTGTTTTTGTGCCTTCTAATCTATTTGTTCCAGACTTACCCCTGATCTTTTTCTCTATCAGTTTGTCCTCTAGATCACTAGTTCTATCTTCTGCTTCAGTTATCCTAGCTGTTAGAGAATTTAGATTACATTGGAACTCATTGAGAGCATTGTTAACATCATCCCTGGTGGCTTTTATGTCTGCCCTAATCTATTCCATTTTGTTATTAATGGTTTTCTCCAACCTAGTCATTGCCTGGGTAATTGTTAGACTGAATTCCCTTTCCGACATACTGTTTACCCATATCCAGTAGCTCTGATGGAGAGGGCATAGTCTCTGAATTTTTCCTCTGATGGGCATTCCTCCTCCTAGTAGTTTTGGTGACAGACGGCTGAGGGGATGTGTAGCTGAATGTATCAACCGTGATCCAGGAGGGTGCACCCTGGAATGCTTCTGAGCAATCAGGAGTCCCCACCAAAAAGAAAGAAAAAAGAAAAAGAGAGAGAGAGAGAGAGAGGGGAAAAAATGAAAGAAAAAAAGGGAAGATTCAGCCAGAATGGGCCCCAAAGGTAAGATTTATAAGGTATACAAACAAAAACGGACAAAAAGACCGACAAATGTAAAGGATAAGAAAAAAAGAACCCAGCCAAAATAAACCCCAAGTATAAGATTTATATAATACCAGAACAGAAACAAATACACAGAAACACTAACAGAAGAAAGATATGTGAGGGTGGTTATAAATCCTCGGTGTGTGCCAGGAAGGTTATTTTGATTCTTCCTGGGTGTATCTTGATATCTTTGTTAATGGACTCAACTTTTCTGAGGTGATAGGGGATTAAAACTGGTTTATATATAGGGGTAGTATTGGTTGGGGAAAGAGGATTACATTGAAGCTTATCTCTATATGAATATTTTTCAAAAACAGAAAAAGCAAAAGTAAAACACACATATATGTATCAAAAAAAGTTCAACTTAAAAGGTTATTATGGAATTTGTTTTATTCAACATCTCATTGTGATGTTAAATAGATCAAAAAATTTTTAAAAATTTAAAAAGAATGAGAATAGTGGGAACAAATTAAAATAAAGGTTGTATCTATGAAGTATACAGGTTTGGGAGCAATACCGCAGCTTAATAACTTCTTTTCCCCTCATATTGTTTTTTTTTTTTTAATTTTTTAAATTTATTTTCAGTGTAACAGTATTCATTGTTTTTGCACCACACGCAGTGCTCCATGCAATCCATGCCTTCTCCAATACCCACCACCTGGTTCCCCCAACCTCTCAACCCCCGCCCCTTCAAAATCCTCAGATTGTTTTTCAGAGTCCATAGTCTCTCATGGTTCACCTCCCCTTCCAATTTCCCCCAACTCCCTTCTCCTCTCCGTCTCCCCCTTGTCCTCCATGCTATTTGTTATGCTCCACAAATCATATTGGGTTTTTACAGTGTTGTGTCCTCTCCTTTTGGTGGGAGTGGGGAGATTTCTGGAGGAGGGGCCTTCTGTGTTGTTTTTCAGGCCGTCTTGCTTGGGTTGAGTCCTTCTGCACCCTATCATGGGGCTGCACTCTGAGGATACCAGTTTTTCAGGCTTTTGTTCTCTGGAGGTTTTTTCCCCCCTCTGGCAGCTTTTGGCCATTCTTCAGAGGTTTAGGGGAAAGCAAACTGCACCCAGAACTCTGTTTCAGAGAGAAGCCTCAGTCTGTTCCCATCTGGGTGGTCCAGAGCACACAGACTCCCCCTCTGCCAACTCCCACCATCAGAGCTCGTTCTCAGCCACCTTCTCAGGGGTTGCAGGAGTTCTAGCGTGTCTCTACACCCTGGTGCTAATAAAACTATATTGATCCAAGAAGTTTGTTGCCAGTGGCTGCCTTTGCTGGGCTGCTGTCTGGGCAGGTCCAGACCGCCCTACAGATCCCAACCAGAGACAGCAAGCTGAAATTTTCATGTAAGCCCAGGTTGCGAGTGTTCAGACTCTATGCCAGTCCTAGCACCCTCCAGCTAACACCTGCACGGATCTTTCTCTGGAGAGGGTGCAGAGCACGGCTTAGGTCCCTGTTGTGCAGCACCTGTGTAGAGTGCAAAAGGCTGTGGTTCTAAAGAGTGAAGGATGGCATCCACCCATACTCTTTCACGTGGGTGCCAGTGGCTCAGGAACCATGGCCTGGATTATTCACTGCACTCTCTCTGACATGGCACAAGCAGTGTCTGTCTTGGATCCCTGAGCTTAAGCCCATGCCCCTGACCGCCCAACTCTACCAGTTGCCCCTTAAGATCTTTTGCTCTTTTTGAGTGCTTTTAACCAGTCTCCAAGTTAATGCTGTTCCCCAGTCACAGGACACTCTCGTATTGGGGTATTACTTTTCAATATGTCCCTTCTGGTAGCTCTCTCCCCCTTCTGTTTATCTTCTGATATTCAGTCCGATGTGCCCACTCTGCTTTACCTGTCCACTGGTGTCTTCTGCCCCCATAGAGATCTAGAAGTGTATAATCGTACATCTCAGACTGATTCATGGGTGTTCAAAGTGTTCTGATAGATAATCAGCTCACTTTAGGAGACCAGTAGAAACAGTATCTCCTACTTCTCCACCATTTTCTTCCCTTCTTTTAATTGAATTTAAATTAAAGAAATAAAATAAAATGAAACTTTCACTCTCAAAAAAAAAAAAAAAACAAGAACAACAAAGAATAAAAAAAAATCCAACATCAGATGGTTTTCTCTGTGGAAGCTAAATATTTAAAGAAAAATTAAGGCTAATACATCACAATCTCTTCCAAAAAACTGATGAGAAAGAAATATGCCCCAATTCATTGTATGACACCAGCATTACTCCAACACCAAAGCCAGGCAAGGACCACACAAGAAGGGAAAGTTCAGGTTACTATCTCCCATGAACATACCTGCAAAAATGCTGGCATACTGAACGCAAATGCACACTGAAATGATCGTACATGATAATCTAGTGTGTATCATCCCTCAGATGCAAGGTTTCTTCAACATACACAGATCAATAAATGGGACAATCTGCTTCAACATAGTGAAGGATTGAATCTACATCATCCTCTCCATCGATGTCTAAAACCGTTTGAAAAAAA